TGGCACTCTACCCAGGGGGACAGCTTGAGGCTCCGTCTCAAAAAAAAAAAAAAAAATTTTAATAATAGCTGTGTTTCACAAATGGCTCAAAAAATTCCTAAAAATGTAACAATTTACCTGGCTCCAGCACACTACTCCATGTCTTCCCTCACCTGTCTGGTCTGGGTTCTGCCACCAGGCTGGGATCAAGAGGGGGAGGATAATGCCCACCCCTGACCCAGGGGCCTTTCCCAGGCTTGGAGGTAACATAGTTCCCCACAGCTTCAAGGCAGATGGGGTGGAATAGCCAAAAAGCAGGCAGAGTGAATGGGCTAGGGTCAATGGCAGGCTCACCTACCCTAGGGTGAGGGGCAGCAGCCGCTCTTGAGATCCTAGACAGGATCCTTCCTTAGAAAGAGCCCCAACTCTCCTAGACACCTGCCTGGAGCAGAAATATGCTCCCCCTCACTGGGCACAGGGCAAGAGCTCTCCATATGGACCTCTCCCAGGTTTCCAAACATATTCAAAACATACTATGAGGGCCGCCTTCATGTCACCCCCAGTATATACTTGGCTTGTCTACTCTTCTAGGCAGCCTATGGCTCAGGGAAGGGTTCCAGGCTGCGCATAGACCACCCTGAGTTCCAAGGTAGGATCTGGCACCCTCAGCCTCCAATCCAAAAGGCCTGGATGGAGGCTTAGAAGACTTAGTTTCTGTCTCTCAGCTCACACTGGGGTCTGGCCTGCACACCCTTCTCCTACCAGGTGGAGTCCCATTGGGAAATTCAGGGATAGCCTGCTTATGATCTCTGCCATGGTACATGTATACGTGTCAGTGCCACACACTCCCTATGGTGGCAGAGGTCATATGTTCAGACTGTACAACCAGGGTGAGGTAGGGGCACTCACTGATGAGGGCTGAGGCTGTGTCCAGCTTGGGGTCATATGGACACTTGCCCTTCCCTGACTCGAGTCTCTCAGGCTCCAGGTAGAAGATGTAATCCTGCAGGGCAGAGGGAGTCAGCATCATCCAAGCCAGTTCCTTAGCCAGGAAGGGTAAGGGTCACCAGGTTTCTGAGGAGAAAGTGAGCCCTCGGGGACACCCTGAGTCCACCCACCGTACTCCCCGGAGCTCTTCAGGCTTAAATTCCATCCAGTCAGGTTTCCCAGGGCAGGGCCATACCATAGGTTCCCAGAGAGGTGCTTTCTAGTCCCAGGTCTCAGTTAAGATATAGGAACCAAGTCTGCGAGGGCCCCCCCCCCGGGGGCCATGAGATGGGCATGGAGTAGACTTTTAGGGGCTGAACCCCCCTCCATGCCAGCTGGCTCAAGAAGATTCTGGCCAAGGCCCCCATGGGCCACAGAGGCACAACTTTTTGAGCTATGGCTCCCTGTCATAGGCCAAGGAGAGGCTGCAGACCTGGCCAGGGCAGGAGGCACTAGTTAAGGGCCTGGGGTCCTGCCCTTTGCCATCAGGTCTGACCAGGCCAGAGAGCTCTAAGGTTACTGTGACTCCAGACTTTTGTGTCCTCGGGATGGACCAATGGGCCATATTTTTTATCCTGTCCCTTAGCAGAGCCCCCAGCTTCCACCTGTCTCCCCAGGGAGCCAGGAGTTGAGGATTCTAGCCCAGACATCATGCCTCTCAGCCCAGCCTGGAAGATGCGAGAAAAAGGCTGGTGAAGGCATTGGGCCCAGAATGAGCTTACAGGCCACAAGGAAAAGGCAGGGAAAAAGGAAGGATAGGGGAGAGGAAAGAGGAACAGAGGCAGTAGGAGGTGGCAGCAGGTGGCAGGATGGTGATGGAAAGGTGCACACAAGCCCACTACAGTTACACTCCGCACACGTGGCTTTCTGCACGCCTGGGCTGCAGGCACAGCTCAACGCATATCACTGTCAGCACACGCAACTCCCTACTTATACTCTAGACACACACTCATTCAGCAGATCTGAATGATCCTGCTTTTGGGTACTCCCTGCCACAGACATATGGACACACAGGCACATACACACACAATCTCATTCACCGGCAGCCCCTGTCCCCTTGCCCGCCCCTGCCCAGCCCTGGCTCTCCCAGTCCAGACCTAGTGGACAGACACTGCCCCAGGAGAGGAGAGCCCCAAGCATGTGAGTGTGCAGGACATTGTGTCCACTGGATATCCCTTGGGAGACACAGGGCATGGACACCTGGAAGTAATGTGTCAGCCTACATGCAGGTGCCATAGTCCCACTCTGGGTCTGAGTAAGGGAATGCCCAAGTGCGTGTTGGTGTGCACTCTTGTGTGTCTACACTCAAATGTTCCAAGGGCTGAGGCACAGCTGTCCCCAGGGTTCCTATCTTCCCCACCTGGTGGTTTCATGATTTCTTGCCTGCAGGGGTCACAGTGAGGCTGACATGAATCCAGCTGAGAATGCCTTCTGAGCCTTAGGCACTTCAGGGGGAGGGGTAGGAATAAGGTGAGGGCAAAGAGATAAAGGGAGGGCCTGGGAGCCAGCCTGGGTTATAGGCCATGAGCTTAGCTCATAGGAAGTGCTGCCTGGCAAAGGCCTGGAGAGATGAGGCCCACCTGGCGTAGGGCTGTGGGCGTCGGGTGGAGAGCACCATCTGTGGCTCTGCTGCCGCGGCCTCTGACCACCTGCATCTGGGGGGTCCGTGATGTGGCCTGAGAAGACGAGGAACAGGGGTTAGAGCTGGAGGTGACAGGGGCTGGGGGAGCGGGCTCGGGCTGCCAGCCTCTCACACCACACACGCCAGGAACACACATGAGTGCCTGGGCCCCCAGAGAATGTCTATGTTTGTGTACATGCACACACACATACACACAGGCTTGGCACACACCTGTACATACATGTGCCCCTTAGGTCCAGTCACCCTTACACATGCCCTACAAGGTCAACCAGCTCACACACATGCCTATATGAAAATGGAAGAGGGCGAAAGCAGGCGGGGGGATGGGGGGAGCAGAGCTGGGGAAGGGGCAGCTCCTCTCAACCCCCGGGACCTAGGGGAGGAAGGCAGCTCTCCCACAAGCCATAAGGCAGAAGCTGAGCTAGGCATCCAGCCTCGCAATGCTGAGGCCCCTGCCAGGCCCTCTGGTTTGGCTGTAGGGGCATGGTCTACAGGCATGGCCAAGAGAGCTGTTGACATGTATGGAGTAAGTGCTTACTATGTGCCAGGCACAGTGCTAAGAGCTTTGAGAGCATTAGCTCACTGCCTCCTCCTCAGATCGACCTGTGAGAAAGGCAGCTGTTGGGCCCATTTTCAAATGAAGAAACCAAGGCTGAGATGAAAGAAATCACTCACCCAAAGTCACAGGGCTTGGAAGTAGCAGGGCTGGGGCTCAAGCCCATCCTCCCATCAGGACCCTGGGATGCAGCCACCAGTGGGGGCAGCACAGGTCCAGGGTGGGTGGGGCTTACCTGGGCTCGGCGGCCACGGTTCACATAGGTGCACACAGGGTTGTAGGCACCTGTCCCACACACATACAGATGTGTTCGGTTCCAGGGCTGGATGAGCCTGACAAAGTTCCCGCACTCACCCTGGGACCAGAGGGAAAGTTATGTAGATCCCCTGACGCCTGCCAGGCCTTTTTCCCTCTCTGGGGTCACCTGCCCCCTTCCCACCTGCGGACCCCACTACACTCACGTTGCCATCCTTGCCTGAGAGCACACATTCCTCAATGCGCTGTGGGGAGGCCGCCCAATGAATCTGCCAGAGATGGGGGTCAGACGGTGCAGCCTGCTGGACAGGGGCCTGAGCCCTGAGGCTCCATGACCCCTCACCCCACCATATCCCACATCTGGGCTGGCCCTTACAATGAGGGGCTCGCGGTTGATGTCGTGCAGATCCAGGGACAGTACGTAGTCCTTGCTGCCCACATACATGCGGTCATGGTCCTCATCCTTGAGCAGGATTCGGTAGTCAGTTGTGTTGAGCAGAAAGTTGAAGAAGTGAGCAGTGCCTGTGGCCTTAAGTTCTGTGGGTGGAGGGCATGGCACTGGTTAGGACACAGTCTTAAACTTCAGGTTTCCCTCCTAAGGTCTACTTAGCTCCCTCTCCAGTCCCTGACAGGTTAGGAGGAGAAAGTAGGACAGGAAGATAGGCCAGGGAAGGGGCCACACCCAAAGCTAAAACCCCTGATTCATAGACAGACCTTGCCAGCTCAGGCTCCCAGTGAAAAGGCAGTGGGGAGGCTAGGCGTGGCTCACTCCTGTAATCTCAGCACTCTGGGAGGCTGAGGGGGGCAGATTGCTTGAGCTCAGAAGTTGGAGACCAGCCTGAGCAAGTCTCTACTAAAAACAGAAAAAGTAGCTGAGCATTATGGTGGGTGCCTATAGTCTAGTACTCAGGAGGCTGAGGAAAGAGGATTGCTTGAGCCAGAAAGTTTGAGGTTTCTATGAGCTATGATGCCGCATCACTCTACCCAGGATGACAGAGTGAGACTCTGTCTCAAAAAAAAAAAATAAGATAGGCTCAGCGGGCTCGGCGCCTATAGCTCAACCGGCTAAGGCGCCAGCCACGTACACCTAAGGTGGCGGGTTCGAATCCCCAG